AGCAGGGAGCCCGATGCGGGACTCGATCCCAGGACCCTGGGATCATGACCTGAGCCGAAGGCAGATGCTTAACCACCTGAGCCACCCAGGCGCCCATCAATTCTTCATTTAAAGCCCTAAATCTACCCTGAAGTCTACTACTAAGTATACACTATCCACATTTTTTGTTGTTGCTTTTGTTGTGTGAGACACTGCCTTTCGCTAGTGCTCTGGAAAGATGGGCAGTTGTTCATGAGGAGAAGGGGGCGGCCAGAGCCGCTGCCGATCTTCCTTGCCCCTTGTTCACCTGTCTGTTGGTGCCTGGTGAAGCTGGTGGAGGGTGATAGGTGTGGTGACTGGTTCCGACCTGATGTGGTCATACTTGGGACCTTTCATCTAGGCACAGTATCTGCTGGGACAAATAAAGGGTTTATTTTTTTTCAAATGTTAAAAACCTAGCAAAAGGGCACCTGGGTGGCTCAGTGGGTTAAGCGTCTGCCTTCAGCTCAGGTCATGATCCCAGGGTCCTGGGATCAAGCCCTGCATTGGGCTCCCTGCTCAGCGAGGAGTCTGCTTCTCCCTCTGCCTGCTGCTCCCCCTGCTTGTGCTCTCTCTCTCTCTCTCTGTGTCAAATGAATAAATAAAATCTTAAAAAAAAAAAAACCTAGCAAAGTTTTTGTTTAAGGATTGATCTTAGATCCCTAGAGCAACCACTTAAAAAGTATAGGAATATAATCAAAAACACAATTGATACATTAAAATCGAATACTGAAAAGTGTTTCAATAACCCCAAATGAGGAAGGAAAGGATGCATGTGATGATGGAGGTTGAGAAGTCCCATGGTTTGCCATCCGCAAGCAGAAAACCAGGAATGCTGCGTCCCAAGACCTGAGGACCAGGGGAGCTGGTGATAAAGTTCCAATCCGAGTCCAAAGGTCTGAAAACTAGAAGCACTGATGTCCAGGGACTGGAGAAGATGGATGTCCCAGCTCAAGTAGAGAGCAGATTCACCCTCCCTCCCACTTTTTGTTCTGTTTGGGCCCTCGGTAGATTGGATGATGTCCACCTGCATTAGTGAAGGCATCTTCTTTACTCAGTCTACTAGTTCAGATACTGATCTCTTCCAGAGACAGCCACACAGACATACTCAGATACAATGTGTTACCATCTAGGCATCACTTCACCCGGTCAAATTGACACGTGAAATTAACCATCACAGTGGGCAACTGGGAATGAAACCTGCTGGGGACCCCTGAGGATCTATGTAGAATTTGTCTCAGATTTACCCCACCGGGAATGGATCTGCTGGAATATTTATCCACTAAACTCAGTCCCTAATGGGTCAGGAGCTGCCTCTGGAGGTGTTACGTGCTAGACACCTCAGAGCTGTCTTGAGCACAGGCAGGCAAGATCCCCTGGCATTCCAGAAACCCACAGGATAAGCAGAGTCCCAGCTTGATATGGGAAGCTGTCAGCATGTACAGACATGGTTTCCCTGCAGCTACAGGTGAACTCAGAAATGGTCCAGGGATATGAAGCAGGGCATCTACACACTCTGCTACAGAGGTGTTCAATAAATATCAATCACATGGGAAAAGAAAGAATTGATCTTATTTTGTGAACTTAGAATAAAATAGGGTGTGTGACATGTACAATAAGGGATGGCTTTAAAACGTGTATGTTTGCTCCAAATAGGAAGAGTTTGAAGGGTAGATACTATATGTGGACTATCCTTAAATTTGAATGCAACAAGACAAACAAAAAGTATTGATTTTTAAACAAACCATGATGGGGAAATGGGGAATTAAAGTTGGTAACCAGGAGAAAGATGCATTTAAAACAAAAACAAAAAGGAAACTTAAGTAATGCTCTCTTTGCTTTTCATTAGTACTTATTTTTTTGTGACTTGAATAGTCATTTTGCAGGTTGAAATTAATTACTTTTTGCTATAATTTGCTTACTCTGGATTGACCATAAATATTCCAGGGGAAGAGTCTTATGTGAGCCTAGAATGAAATGATAGATTCTGTTAATTTATGTGCCTTCCAACTTGTACATTGCAGGCTTGGGATGATGTAGTACGTAAAGAAAGACCTAAAGAGGATGCATATGAATATAAAAAACGTTTAGCGTTAGACCATGAGAAGAGCAAATTGAGCCTCGCTGAAATTTATGAGCAGGAGTACATCAAACTCAACCAGGTAAGGAAGCCCAGAAGGCAAAGCCATCATTATTAAAAAAAGAGAAGTAGAGAATCAGTTCTACTGGTTCCACCCTGATGGCTGAAATTCATGAAATAAATCTTGAGCTCTTGGTTCACCTCATTTAAATGTGAGACAGTATGTTAGGGATAGAGGGGTTATAATATTGCCACTGAATTTGAGGGGGTAGGAGAGCTTATTTTGCAATTATTCATTGGTCACCTAATTGTTCCACAGCTAATTACTCTCCAGCAATTATTATAGTAGTCCTACAATTTTAAAATCAGTTTTCATTAATACTTTAGAAGTTACTGATAGAACATTATCTGTGAAATTCATTCAGATTTTTGGTCTGGTGGGTTATTTGGTTTTTGATTCTTGTTTCTTTTCACTTAGATTCTTAAAAAAATACCTGGTTAAATAGGGCAAAGTCGTATTTCCAATAATAATATATTACCAGTATAGTGATTGAATTATTTCTTCACACTTGATTTATTGAGGATGTGGTCAGTATGTGCTTGGGGATGAGATGGCGTTTTTATTTGCAAAAGCCATTTAAGATTCCTGCCAGATTTGATTAATTAATGTCACTTTAGCAGCAATAGCCATCAGTGCCCTGGATGCCACTGTTAAGTTGAAGATCTGGAAAGATTTGAATTAATTCTTCCTGGCTGCTTTGCAACCCAAAGTGGTAGTTGAAGGAACATGTCATTGAACGTTGCCTGGCTACTTTGAGAGGGTTCAGTAAATAGAGAAAGCATTTTGTAATGATGAGAGTTAAAAATTAAATATGTAACACGACAGCTATACCAGCCCTGTAAATACTAGTTTTATTTATGTCTCAGAATTCAGCAGCCAGTTCACAAGGTTTTTTTTGGTTTTTTTTTTAAAGATTTTACTTATTTGAGAGAGAATGAGATAGAGAGCGTGAGAGGGGGGAGGGTCAGAGGGAGAAGCAGACTCCCTGCTGAGCAGGGAGCCCGATGCGGGACTCGATTCTGGGACTCCCAAGATCATGACCTGAGCCGAAGTCATTCGCTTAACCAACTGAGCCACCCAGGCGCCCCCAGTTCACAAGTTTTTGAGCATGGACTTAATTTAGGCTAATTCTAGAGCCATTCCATTAAGAGTTCATCTGGGGATGATGATGAGTATTTTCCGAAGTTTTGTATCCATCCTGGAGGTAGTAAGCAAGCTGATGGTACGCAGCACGTGAATGAACTTCTAGTTGTATGTGTATGATTTCACAGCCATTACTATCTGGGATGAGGCAAACAACATGTTCAGGATAAAAAAATGAGTTAAGTTAAAATAAAGAAGCACTGGCAAGTGCTTAGATGTGGCTGAAGGCGGGCTCTGATGACAGACATTGGAAACCGACTCCAGTGCATCTCTGGCATCAGGGTTGTGGAGGCAAAGAGCCAGTCACTTCCCCATTCTGGTGTGTTTTGTTTTGTTTTTGTTATGCCTTAATAAAAAAGCAAATAAAAACAGTCTTAGCCTTTTAGAATAAGCATTATGGGCAAAGGGAAAAGGGGATTGTGAGCATTTGGGTTGTTTCTACCTTTTGGCTATTGGGAATAATGTTGCTCTGAACAGATGTTTACATGTGTTTGAGAACCTCTTTTTAAATTCTCTTGGGTATTTACCTAAGGATGGAATTGCCAGGTCATATGGCAGTTCTCTGTTTAACTTTCTGAGGAGCTGCCTCATTCATTTCCATTGTGACTGCACCATTTACATCGTCCCCAACAGTGCACAACAGTTCCCAATTCCTCAACATCCAACTCTTGTTACCCAGCTCCCCTTTCTTTTAATGGTAGCCGTCTGAGTGGGAGTGGCTTAGTTCTTGACAGAAGTAAATGCCAAGGGGATTAAATTGTAAGTTCTGAATCGTAGAGGGAGGGGCTGCTGCAGCTCCTAAAATGCACACCACATTGCTTCTTTGGCTGGTGCTGGCACTGTCATGGTATTGATAACTTTGGTTCTGCCTTGTAATGTGTCTTGAAGCCAAAGCCTTGATGATGAGAAGTGGGGACATACCCTTATTGACCCTTGTGTTTTATCTATGATGTGTATTAAGCTGCTCAGTCTGATGTTGTTGAACTTATTTCCTAAGCAAAAAACAGCAGAAGAAGAAAATCCAGAGCACAAAGAAATTCAGAAGATGATGGATTCCCTCTTCTTAAAATTGGATGCCCTCTCAAACTTTCACTTCATCCCTAAACCAGTAAGTGTGTTAACAATTTTGTGTGTAGTCAGAGCAGATATGACCTTAATTCCTCTTTGAGCTTCTGTGGGGCTAGCTCTTTGTTTGGTTTTAGGATATAAACCTGTAGGAATTTCTAGTCCTAGACAGTTCTGGCTTCCTCTGCTGATCGACCCTGATCTCCAGATGGGCCCTTGCCAGACCTAAAGTCTTAGCCACGGGGTCTCTTCATTTCTCACTCTTTTCTTGTTGTTCAGCCTTCAGTTGTATTTTCCTCCTGTGGTTCGTCTGGAGACTTGTAATGTCTGTACCTGGTATTTTCTGAATACCTGCTATTTGCCATATTAAGTTCTTTATGTATGTTAACCCCTTTTCCCCAATTTTATTAAGATATAATTGACATGTAACACTGTGTAAGTTTAAGATGTACAACAGTGGCTTGATAATATAGGTTCCCCCACCACCAGAAAGCAAAATGTTCCTATAAAACCTTTCACAAACCTAAATGGGGTAAAGCAAAAAAGCGATTACCATTAATTAAATGGAATTTTTTTTTAGCTTTTCAGACCCCCAAAATAACCTGTTCTAGGCTTTTCTGATACTTTAGGACCAGTCTCGTAATGGATGCACAAATAAATTGAGATAAAGCACATGCTCACAGACACTGTTTAAAGCTATGGTGGCTTGATGCTGAGATACCAGGTGTAGTTCCTGAGGAAGGAGCTGGGCAGGGCCGCTCACTGCAGAACAGATGCTGAATGCTATTTTTGCTTTCACTTTTTTTATAAAAGTGAAAATTCTTTTCAGATATCTGTCAGTTAACAAAAACAGGTACTAACGTAGGTCTTTTTGTGAAAGCAACGTGGCCTAGTGTGAACTTTTGAAAGGCATGGCATACCTGGGTGTGTATATTGGGGAATGATTACCACGGTAAGTTTAGTTAGGGGCGCCTGGGTGGCTCAGTCATTGGGTGTCTGCCTTCGGCTCAGGTCATGATCCCAGGGTCCCAGAGTTTTATTAAAATACACTCCAAGGGAGGAGCGGGCCAGTCAAGAGAGACAAAGGCCCCAGAAACTCTGGGGTGTGGGCTTATATCATTTTTTTCTTTTGGGAGGGTCCTAGGGTGGCAACATTTGAGTGACAGGCCTGGATTATTAATAATTAGCCAGGTATTCATGTCCTTTCCAAAATGTATTCTAAGTGCCTGCAAGAGTGGGCAACCACAACATTTCTATTCTAGAGACATAGGTCAAATAAAGACTAAACCTACTGCTAGATGGGTAGAATGTGGCGGTCCCTGGGCAGGGCTCTGGCAGGACATCTAAGGTCCATCCTCCTATTGCGCGCCTAGTTTCCTGCCTAACAAGATCACACAGTATTTGTCTTTCTCTGTTTGACTTATCTCACTTAGCGTAATGCCCTCAGGGTCCATCAGTGTTATCACAAATGGCAGGATTTCCTTCTTTTTATGGCTAAATGGTATTCCACTGCGCGTGCCTGCACGTGTATTTATATATGCACCATAGTATCTTTGTTTTCATCTGTTGATGGACACTTCTATTGTTTCCATGACTTGGCTGTTGTAAATAATGCTGCAGTGATCTTGGGGGTGGAGATATCTCTTTGAGCCAGACAGGAGCACCAGCTTGGCTCTACAGATGGGCAAGGCTGCAGGCTGGGATCTCGACTTGAACACTCCTGCGAGGAGCAACAGTCTGCCAAGATCCAAGCACTGGTTGCTAGAAGCCCTGCCCTTGTTCTTCATCCCAGTCTGATTCTCAGTGGTCAAGCCCCACAGATTCCCTCCACAATCCCCGTGACACAGACGTGATTGGGCCTGCCCAGAAGTGTCCTGCAATTGTGGGGAGCTGGAATGCCACCTTGGGCTCCCTTCCCACTGGAGAAACCATAGGCCAGGTCTCAATGGGGCATGGTGCTGGCCTGGGAGAGGGAGATATGGTGAGAGTGTAGCCTCTCCTACCCTTCTAATGTAGTCCTTCTCAGTCTCTGTGGTCCGGAGGGTTGCTTTAGCCTCACCCTCCAGTTCTGGGATTTTCCCAGTGCTATCTCATCTATGGATGGTTGCTAGTTAGTTGATCTTGTGAGGAGGACTAAAGTTGGGATTGATGATGGTAGTGGCCCTGCCCATTAACTCTTCATCCACAAAACACTAAGGCAGATAGTAGTCTTTCTGTTTTACAGATGAGGAAACCAAGGCTTATTAGGACATTGGGAGGGTTGGATCTAACTGGGTCCGTGTTCTCCCCGTTGCATCATGTTCCCCGCACCAGGCCCAGATCTCCAGTGATCTTGTCTGTCTGTCTGACTCCCCCACGCTTGGCTCAGTGCTTCTATACTTTTTAGAGCTTCCTTTCCTTCTCACTATCCTCTGTGAACCCATGAAACATGCTGTGCCATCCTTTTGGTACTTGCTCACCTATTGCCCCTTTGTGTCCCTTGTGTTTTCTAGAAATGAGGTATCATGAATTTCAGGGACTAGTCTAGAAGTCAGAAACCTGAATTTGATTCTGCCCCTAACTAGCTTTGTGAATTAGGCAAATTGCTTCACTTTTCATCTATACAGAAAAGGTAATCACCAAAATCCTTCTGATTCTTTGATGGTTAGGTGTTTTGTCATGTGTGAGTATCTTGTCTTTTCAGACACTCAGCATTTATCACCTGCTTTTTTTTTTTGTTTTTGGTTAATCAGGTGTAATTTATGACAGTAAGTTTTTGGTGGCAGGAGCCATCTTTAGATACCAAAATGCCTAGTGTAGGCTAGGTAATAGATGAAGAAAAGAGAGGAATTCTCAACCCCCCTTGGCCAGCAGGTCTTACTGTGAAAAGTTATTGATGTGAAGAACATGATCCCTTCCTGTGCCTTACAAGGCCCCACGTGATCTGGCTCCCTCTCACCCCTCTGGTCTCCACAGCTTTCTGCCCCCAGCCACACTGGTCTTCTTCCAGTGCCTTCAGTGGGGCAGGACGCCCCCCTTCCTCACACCTTCCTGCTGGGCTCTCCTCTGCTTGTTAGGCTGTACTTCCTTCTTTCCATGGCTGGCTCCTTCCTATCTCTGGGGTGTCAGGTTGAATGCCGTCTCCCTCCTCCCTGCATTCATTTCCCTCATAGCACTGTGATCGCCATTGGTCGATTGCCGATCGTTCTCTACTCGTTTCCAAGCCAGCACAAACGTGTTTTGTTCACCGCTGTTTCCCTGCTGTGTCCATCACACTAACACGGAGCCTGACATGGGGAAGTACTCAGACCTTCCTTGGAACCTTGGGAATTGAAGAAGGAGGGAATGTATTTGGGCCTACATGACACAGTTTGAAAGCCTTTCTTATTCCTCTTCAGAAATACAGAATTTTCGGTACAGGTTCCCCTTAATATGAACTTTTTTTTCATATTCAGTTTCATATTTCATGATCTCCTTAAACCCTGTTGACCATTCATCATTTTTTGTGTTGTTGTTATTTTCTGGGCTATCTCCCATTTTCTTTATATTTCTCTTTAAATTGTAGAATGGAATACAATGTTCCTAATAAATAAGTAAACAGTGGTCCAATGGAAGAAATTATTTCTTTCAGACTCTGACATTTTTTCCTGTTAGGATCCAGGATCCTGTTGTGTGAATGACTTGTTGTTGTTCTCTCTGAAATTTCCTGGGGCACACATCTGCTAGTTGATTGTCATATGGCCAGGACTGCGGTAAGGAAAAGGGGTGTGTGAAGGGGAGTCAGTGACACTCTCTGCAGTAGAGCCCCTCTCTCCTCAGTCCTGTGTTCTTTCCAGGGCACACTTCCATCTTTTACTCCACTTAAGCGACAGAGCCCCTGTCCCTGCCCCCTGGTGCTCCTCAGAGATGTGCAAGAATTAGACGCAAAGAGCATTAGTGTAAGTGTTAGGTAAATAATCACTGGTGTCCTGTTATTACCATGATCAGTATGAAGCTTGTTTTAATTTCTGTCTTTCCTGGGCATTTCTTTCCAAACAAAAAAAGGCTCTTCAGTTAATATTGCATAACATTTCTCCTTTTTACAATTAATAGGTTTGATTTACTTCAATACCGTTTTAGTTTTCCAAAGCAGTTCTGTATCATCTCACATTTGTTTGTAAAGCTAGGTTTTCAGTAGCTGGAAGATGAGAAAATTTGTTTATCAAGTAGCCTATTTTTGACTCTTGTTCTGATAAGCATTTTTCCTTGCATCTTTTTCTATATATTTCTTATAGCTGGCCTTTTTTCTGTGACCAAAGGCAGGATAATATTCACAAAAATCTATTTATTTAACATTAGATAGGATTGTTGGAAAATGTCCACATCCGTGGCAGATGGGAATAGTTTAGTGCAGTAGGCAAAAGAACTGGTGTTTGAATATGGCAGAAATGTCCTGCAAACGTGTAGAAATAGGTCGTCTTGGTGCAGCAGTGAGACAGAGAAGACTCTCAAGTACTCAGATACCAAGATTCCTCAAGCAGGAATGCCCACCAACACTGCCATCATTCCAGTTAGCTTAAGATTTTTGCTATCAACCATCTCACATTTTAAATAATCTCCATAAACTTTTATTTTTTTTAAACCTAGGAGAGCTTTTGTAAAAGATTTATTTATATGAGAGTGAGTGAGTGAGTGGGGGGAGGGGCAGAGAGAGAGAATCTTCAAGCAGACTCCCTACAGAGCATGGAGCCCTATAGGGCACTTAATCTCATGACTCACGAGATCATGACCTGAGCCAAAACTGAGTCAGACTTTTAACCAACTGAACCACCAAGGCGCCCCGCCATAAAGTATTTTATGTATTATGCTTTAAATTAATAGGGTCACACCTTAACAATAGAGAACAAACTGAGGGTTTCTGGAGGAGAGGTGGATGGGGGGTGGGCTAAATAGATGATGGCTATTAAGGAGGGTACTTGTTGTGATGAGCACTGGGTGTTGTATGTAAGTGATGAACCACTACATAAAAATAATAGTAAAGTCAATTTTAAAGGATAGTAAGAAAAATAGTTTCGCAATATAAATATTTTATATTAGGACTATTTCTGACTTCCTCTTAAACGTACTGTCACTTTTCTAGCCTGTTCCAGAGATTAAAATTGTGTCAAATCTGCCGGCCATAACCATGGAGGAGGTAGCCCCAGTGAGCGTGAGTGACGCAGCTCTCCTGGCCCCAGAGGAAGTCAAGGTAAGAAACCAGTGTTGAAACATTTAGCAATATATATATATAAATTAGTTGTTTATAGCTAGATTTCTATTCAGTGTCATTATCCTGGAGTTTGTAGCTTTTATTCTAATGTATCAGCAGTTTCTAAGTATAGTCAAACTAATAGTATTTCACAGTATTGAAATATCAGTCTTCTGTAATCAGATATTATGAGGTACAGGTATGAGAATTATTATAAAAGCTTCTTGTAAATATCCGATGTCTGTATCTTGTTATAATCCAACTTGAATACTAGCAGTGATGTTGGGTTAAAATAAATGGTTTATGTTGCTCATATGCTAGCAGTCCTTTAATATCAGCATTTTCCCCCATTGTTGTACCCGTTTAATGCTTATCAACAATGGAATCAGTGTCTAGAATAGAACATTTGGGTTATTAGAAGAAGTTGGATGTAACCAAATGTAGGCAATCCCTGGCTCATGAACATTGGAGTCATGCATTACACACAGAAACAGTGGTTTCTGCCAGGTCTCATCTTCCCGGCAGGCCTGGCAGCACGGCTGTTTGTCCCTCTGCACTTGCTTTGCTGCACCCACACCCACCCCTGCAGGACCTCTGCCAGCTCTGCAGGTGACGGCCCTGGCGGGATAAGCTGGCAGCTGGGGGGGAGAGAGAGGACATTGATCCTCCTGGATAGATGTTTCCCTTCCATTTCTGGGAGCCCCTCCTGCCAGCCAATGGCTGTCCTCTGCAGCTTAGCTCCGAGGTTGTCCCTAAAGCCCATCTGGAGTCTTTTTTTTTTTAAAAGAATTTCTTTTTTTTTTTTTTTAAAGATTTTATTTATTTATTTGACAGAGAGAGACACAGCGAGAGAGGGAACCCAAGCAGGGGGAGTGGGAGAGGGAGAAGCAGGCTTCCCACGGAGCAGGGAGCCCGATGCGGGGCTCGATCCCAGGACCCTGGGACCATGACCCGAGCCGAAGGCAGACGCGTAACAACTGAGCCACCCAGGCGCCCCCCCATCTGGAGTCTTAAGTGCTGGAGGGGGCTTGCTTCTGGGACTGTCAGCAGGATAAACCAGCTCTCCAGGCTACCTTTGTGATGTAGTTTGGGAGCTGAACTGCCACTGTAAGAGTCTGCTTTGTCAAAGAATGCATTCCAGGTCTTAAAGAGCTGAGCTCCCAAAGCTCTATGGGGTGCAGATGGGTACTGGTTACTCAACTCTTGGCGATAGGTATAGCCCATTGGCCATGCTCTGTGGAATTGCTACTCCTCCCATTTCCGAGTTGTGTTAAGTTGGATTAACTGGTATGCTGGTGGTTACCTTTAATAGGAAAAAAATAAAGCCGGAGATGTAAAAACAGCTGCTGAAAAAACAGCTACAGACAAGAAACGAGAAAGGAGGAAAAAGAAATATCAGAAGCATATGAAACTAAAAGAGAAGGAAAAGCGGAGAAAACTGCTTGAAAAGAACCACCCAGACCAAGCGGAGAAATACACGAAGGCAGTGGCTTCTGAGAAGTTAAAACAGCTGACCAAGACAGGCAGAGCTTCACTACTAAAGGTAAGGATGCAGGAAAGAAAACCGCTGCAGGGGGCCCTCGTGGGGAAGGCGGTGGCAGGCAGTGGGTGACACCGCCCACCTGACGGTGCGAGACCACTGGCGCCTGGCGGGGGTAACAGCCCGAACTCTGGGCCCTCACGGCACCTGGGGCCTGGCAGCCCTTGTCTTCCACTCCCTCCTCCCTTAACGTTACAAGAACATCGCAGCAGCATAGAGCTCATAGAATACATCTGTGCTAACTGGTGTGATTTTTCATAATTTATTCTTAGTTTCTGGATTTTTATACTTTGTACACTGGTGAAATCATTTGGCTTTTTTTACTCATAAGCAGATTTTATAGCGTAAGTGTGTTATTATTTTTAATTGCAGGATGAAGGTAAAGACAAAGCCTTAAAGTCATCTCAAGCATTCTTTTCCAAATTACAAGATCAAGTAAAAATGCAAATCAGCGATGCAAAGAAAACAGAAAAGAAAAAGAAGAAAAGACAGGATATTTCTGTTCATAAATTAAAGCTGTAATATATTTTGAATATAATGTAAATATTAATGCGTAAGCTTATATTCTGTCATTGTTCTCTTTTATAATAAATTTTTTGAGAACTTTTCCTTGCATAGATGGCAGATATTTGAGAATTCCTCATTTTGAAAAGACAAACTCTAAACTGTCATTGGAAAGCCCTGAACTGCTTCCTGTGTGAAGCTGGACCTAGCTCCCAAGGCCCTTTCCACACTGTGTCCTCGCTGGGGCAGGTGAAGGCCAGCCAAGGCATTGGCCGGTGGGCGGGAGTTGGCCTGCAGGCTGACCACGGCCCAGGAGCCAGCCGTCCCCGTCACAGGCAGCTGTTTACAGCAGGGGTCCTCACTCTTTGGAGTCCTGATGTTCTTCTCCCACTGCCCTGTCAGCCTTTCACAAAACACTGCACATGCCTTCCGTCCTTCCCCTTGGGAGGTGATCTCCCACCCACCTGAATGAAGGCTTCGTTCAGGCTCTAGGGTACCGCCCACGGTCAGATGCATGGAGGGCAGGCAGGACCTAGACGTGATAGAAGGTGAACACAACAAGGAAGGTAGACTGGCAGTGTGGTGAGCCTTCCATGACTACCTCCGCCTCTAGAGAAAACTGTCTTTTGTCTGATAGGAACTCATAGTATGCTTTGATGGAATTGCCCTAAGACAGCTCAGAGCAGCTTCTCCCGAAGCAGCAGGGAAAGCCCTTCTGGTTTTCCATCTACAGGGGTCGGTCAGCAGGCAGGAAGAGGTTGTGGGCGTGTGCTTTCTGCATTTCTGCTTCCTAATAAACAGAAGCTGGCCACGTCAGGGTAGAACCAGGCTGGCTGGGGCTAGCTGGAGCACCAGTCAGTACTGAATTGTCATTTGTTGGAAGTTTTATTCAGGAGAGTTCTCTTCACTATTTGCCTTTGTCTTCTGAACAGTTCGAGCAACCCCGGGTCTCCGTCTAGCCTTGGTGAAAGTGTCATTTCCTTACAGTGATGGGAGTGTTAATATGGCTCTAAGAGTTCCTGCTTTCTTGTTAAATTCAGTTTGCCAGTCCCCATTCAACTGCGAGCTTAGTTCTCTTGCCCTTGAGTCTTTCTTTCATAATCAGTCATCAGGATCAGAATGTTTGATCCTGAAGTGATGATTCACTTTACCTGTCCAAGGGCAGTTTGATGTCTGCATAGTTTGAATCTCTCTTATCTTCATTTTTCCCACCATCTTTAGGTGAGGCATATCTGTTCATTCACTTTTTTAATGTAATATTTTATACATTCTAAAGATTATATTCTTTTATATACCTACTCTGTGCCAGGCAGTATTGTCGGTACCAGGGATATAACTGAACAAAACAATAATTCTTGTGCTTAAGAAGTGTTCATTCTGGTGGAATATTTATCTACTACTTCTTTATAAATTAGAAGCATCACGTAACGTTGGAGAAACCATCCTTTATCTAAAAACACACAACAGGGCCCCTGGTTGGCTTAGTTGGTGGAGCATGGGACTCTAAATCTCAGGGTTTTAAATTCGAGCCCTACATTGGGTGTAGAGATTACTTAAAAAAAAAATCTTCAAAAACACAAAGCAATACTCAGTGGTGCTCTTCATCTGCTTCGCTTGACTATGTAAGGAGGTAAAGAGGAAATCATGGTTCTGAGCGGTGTGTTCATCATTCCTTTACATTCATATATATTTGACCACATGTATCCCTAGTCAATGCATTGTTTACTAGTACTTGAATTTTAGGAAAATAGAACACTGTACACTCACCTATTGCTTGCTTTTTCACTCTTGATTTCCCTCATTCATCCAAAATGCTATTTGTTTTTGCTGCCATATAATATCGTATGCGTCTATCATGATTTTATTTACCCTGTCTTGTGAAGATACTTGTTTCGTTTTATATGGAATAATGCCATTTCGAACATCCCGTTCCCAAACACTGTCGCTCTTATGCTTTAGCCTCTAATGCCCTTTAGAATAGAATTGCTGGGTAGAAAGTGCAGAAGATTAAGGCTGTCTTGTTCTTCAAAGTAGGTGTACAAACTTGCACTTAATCGTATCTTTGTCAGACTTGGCATTGGCAGGATTTAAAAAATGTGCCTTTCTGCTGAACATAAAATGATGTATCTGTGTGGTATTAATTTATATTTCTCTGCTAATGAGATGGAGCATTTTGTTGTGTGTTCTCTGTCTCATTTTTAGGTAGTTTTTTAATATTTTAAAATTCATATAAAATATATGTATACATATATAAAATAAATAAAAATATATAATTTTTACAGAAAAATTCCAGGAAATTTAGCTCCATTTGCTTTATTATCCTTGTTTTCTTCTGAACAATTTGAGAAGAAGTTAGAGACATTGTGGCCCTTTCCCCTGAATACTTCAGTATGTATTTCCTAAGAATACGAATATTCACGAACATAGAGCTGCAGTATAATGATCAAAATCAGGAAATTTAGCATCAATATGATGCCATTAATCTGTAGTCCATATTCAAATTTTGTCAATAGTCCCAATAATGTCCTTTCTAGCTCTTTTCCCCTGGTCCAGGATCAAGTAATTCTAAGATTCCTCATTGTATTTAGGTGTTATGTCTGTTTAATTTCCAATTCCTGAGCCTTTCTTTGTCTTGACTAACATTTTTGAGGCATACAGGCCAGTTATATAGACCGTCTCACAAAATTGGATTTGTCTGTTTTCTCAGGATTAGATTGAGGTTATACATTTTTGGCAGGAAAGCCAAAGCAGAGGTGTGTCTTCAGTACCTCCAATACAGAGGGTCAGGATAATCCGTTTGTTTCGGTGAAGCTGGTGCTGAAAACATTTCGAGTTTGTTACAGTGATGACCACCAGGTTTCCCCACTATAAAGTTACTGCTTTTCCTTTTTACTTAATCAGGGAGATACTTTGATACTCTGAATATCCCATTCCTCAACAAACTCACCAGTTTTGGCATCCATTGATGATTTTCTAACTTAATTTCTTCTATATCTATTACTTGGCATTCTGTAAGGAAAGTTTTCCCTTCTCATTTATTTCAGTATTGACTGATTTTTTTTTTTTTAAAGATTTTATTTATTTATTTGAGAGAGAGAATGAGATAGAGAGCGTGAGAGGGGGGAGGG